CGAAATAGAAGCTATCAATTTTGTTTTCATAAGTAATGGTCTTGCAATAAGTTGTTGACATTTAATAAACGATTTCACTAAACTATTTTGTATATGGACACATCCAACTGAATGTTCAATAACAATCTCTATTGACATACAATAATCATCGAATACTTGTATTTTAAATTCTCCAACATTATCAAGAAGAATTGTCTTGATTGAGAAATTGAGCTCGTAAGTTTATGATTTGGGCAAGTAGTTTTGTAAAAGTTACATTTCTAATTGAAAGTAAGCAAACATGTGACCATCTAGTAGAAGAATCAATTAATATCATAAAATAATAAATGGTCTGTAGGTGTATTGGCCCACATATATCTCCATGAATCTTTCCAAGAAAGTTGGAGATTCAACATTAGCCATTGTAGTTAAAGGTCCCATGACTAACGTGTATTGCGAACAAGCAGCACATGGATAATCATTAGATTAAAAAAAATCTTTTGATTCTTTAGAGGATGTCCATGTAAGTTTTTTTATTATTCGACAAATTATTATAGCTCATGAATATCGAAGTCGATCATTCTAAAGTATAAAACTTTTAGTGTCAACGAACTTCAAGTTCGCGATAATGTTTGATACAATCATTTTTATGAATGTATACACATGCTGAGGGGATTGCATGAAATTTTTCTTTTATCTGCTTCTAGTTAGATAAAAAAGAAATTATGCAAACATATTGTATATTATTTTCTTACATCATTTTAATGTGATATCCATTACATTGGATATTTTTAAAATTAAGTAAATTGCTTTTGAATGAAGTTGCATAGTTATTTGATAAAATAATACAAACTCTTTCGGAGCCTTCAGTGGTATTTGATGACCAAATATCATACTAATATTATTTTCTGCTAATGTTAAGTTCAAAAAATATTTTTTGTATTGAAAATAGTGTACGTAATTGGACTATCAACTAAACACGTATCTTGATAATTCATCCTAAATTTATAAACATGACAAAATAAATATTTTGAAAAATTAATTTTATAATCAAGAGTTAAGCAATATTTTAATCAATTAGAAATAGTGTAACAATGTAATGTTTTAAACTTAAAATGAAAATAAGAAAATCATACTTCAGACTAACTTCTAAATCAAAATAAACTACTAAGATACTGAAAAATAAACTAATCATTTTTATCGAGCACACCGCCTCCGATCAAATGACCAACATTGCCATTTGGGTCAGCAATAAAATCAGAACGTCCAAGTGAGACATCAATTGGACCATCATAATCAACGTAATTTATCTCCACTTTTTCTTCTCTTGATTGATTTTTGGTAGAGATTCATAAGATGTTTTACTGTACAATGAGTATGTGCCCAATCCTCTCTCATTTCATATCTAAAACAACTTTTTTTGTGCACTTTTTTGGATATGCTACTTTCGTTTGTTTTGTACCTTTTTGAAATAGTTGCCTTGTTACTAATAGTCTTGTTGATTATTTCATCCATGGTTTCTCCCATGTTTGTGTCCACATCTAAATTTGTGTCCATGTGTACTTCCACGTCCTTGTCTTGATATTATATTTGCTTCAGAAAATGGAATACCATTTGCTTCAGGCAAGGTATAGAACTAGTTGGACGTAATCCATAATTTTTCATCAGCAATTCATTATTTTGTTCAGCTACAAGCAGACAAATATATGAGTTCTGAGTACTTTTTAAAACTACGTTCACTGTATTGGTGCTACAAGAGCACATTCGATGTATGAAAGATGTAAAAAGTTTTATCCAACATATCTTCATCGATATTTTTTCTCCACACAAAGTCGATTTTGAATATATTCTAAACAATTCAGAATTGTACTCACTGACAATTTTAAAATCTTGCAAAAGAAGATGCATCAATTCATAGTAGGCTTTCGGAAGGACTAGATTTTTTTGGTAGTCAAATAATTCAGTTAATTTTTCTCAAAAAAACCTATGGATCCTTGATAATGAGGTATTCGATTTTCAATCCATCTAAAGATGTGACGGAGGAAGATACATGCTTTTGCACCATCCTACAAGAATTCTTGGATTTCTTCGTTTATTCTCTCCCCCATACCATTTGAGACAAGGTGAACCTCAGTATCGAGGACTCATGACACAATTTTTGCCAAATATGTCGATATTAACAAACTCAAGTTTTTTTATGTTTGTCACTTGGGTAACTGTACAATCAAGTAGAAGAAAATACAATTCATTTCGAAAAATATAATTAATTCACTCAATAACTAATCAAGTAGTCAATGTCAACATGACATGAGTTATATATTTTCTTTCAGGGATAAATATTAATTCAAAATGATATATTCTTCGAAACATGTTCCACTTCAAAAGCTCGTTGTATTTTACTATTATTTTTTCAAGAGTAATATGTCAATATTCTTTTTGAATATTAAAAATTATAATATTATGCCCTTTAGGAACAATAACATATATCTAAAATAATAAATTGTATAAGAATTTACTCTTCAGGAGTAAAAATATAATTTATGTTGGATCGTATTTAATTATGTTATCTGAAAGCAAGTAGAATATAACTAAAATATATGTAAATAATAGTGTGCTACTTCAAGAACACTAATATCTTTTAATAGAGAGATATATGAGTGCCAAATTCATAAATTATACTACATACTAAAAAAATAAAAACAGGATAATTAATCGAACGATAAACAAAAAGCAAAAAATAATAATAATAAGAGAGATATGCATTCACAATTAATATGTGCAGAAGCTTTAATTCGTGCATATATGTGATGTTGACTAATGATTTATTCATAGATGCACACAAAATGGAAAGAAAAAAATATGTCAATATTTAAATATGTGCAATTGATTGGGCATCATGCCCATTGTGCAATTGATTGCAGCATTGATTGACATCATGAAAATATTGTTTGCAGAAAGAAATCGTTGATTCCCAGAAGAACAAATATCGAGGAAAAAGTTGTTGATTTCTTTACATGGACACATATAAATATATATGTAGAAGAATGGACACATAAAGAAATAGAGTAATTTAATTTGTGCTTTTATATAAAAAAAATTGCTTTTATATAAAAAAAATTGGGATTGATAACTTTTCATAAAATAGAGAGAAAAAAAAAAGGACAGAAAAGAAGTCAATAGATTTTTGTGTGTTTTATTGTGAACCGGAGCCCCATATTTATATGGAAGAATTAGGGATACAATGATAATAATAATTAGGGTTACAAGTGTATAATTATCATTCACTAATAACTAGGACAATAAATGATCTTCCTTTAACTTGCTGTTAAAATTTGTTAGAAATTTGTACAGACTCCTAGTACTGCTTAAAAGCAATAATTGCTAGAAACAGTACTTAAAAGAAAAAAAAACTTCTTAAGGCTTAGTGAGACAACTATATAATGTATTTTCAACAATCTCAAAGAATATATCCTCTTCTACTAAAATGCATGGGATGAAAATGCATGAACGGATTTCCCTCTATTATGAATGCATCCAAGTAAAAATCTCCAAATCAACCTTAGTAAATAATGCAGGTAGAATTACTTATTGGAGCGATCTTGCTCTCCTAATATCTGCACTCAATAGAAGAAAAACAAAGGCATGAGATCTCACCTCTCCGTGACCCTTAAAGTAGATAAGGTGCCTATTTTTATACATAGATAGATAGATACCACAATATTTCTGGCAAAAAAAAGAATACGAAGAGAAAAAATGTTAGAACTTGGATGTCGTAGTTTCCAAATCTTAAATTTAAGGCTAAAGCCACTAACCTCATTGGAATCCAAATTGTACCTTTAAGAGCATACAACAATACTCTGGTAGTGGTAAACCATATCCTGTTAGCTCCATGCTTCTTGTGATATGTAGTTTTCAACAACTTGAGTTTTATACAAAGTCATTAAAGGTAAAATCTTCAAGGGAAAAGGAGATGTGGGTTCAACGAGGTTGCACCAGTTGTTATTGCTAGCTAACTGTCTTACTTGGCACTTGAAATGTCATAAAGTCGCACCGAATCGTCTTCACTATCTGTTACTAACAGTGTTCGAAAATGCGGCATAATGCGCCGTGTACGCGCGCCAAAGCGCGACACGTGGCCGAAACGCCTCGCATTCGGTGCATGCGTGTAAAAACGCGGTCAACACCCGCGTTGACCACTAAAATGCATGCAAAGGCGTGCATTTTTTTAATTTTTTAACATTTTTTTTAATTTATGCTTTTATTCAATTTTTTGTTTCAAAATCTGAAAAACCCATTCTTTCCAACTTCCAGCCCACCACTTGACAGGCCCAGGAAACGTATGCAGCTTTTGTTTGCCCATTTATTTATAGACATAATTTCTTGTGCTTCATTTATAGGATTCCGATGTGAGATACTTTGGCTGTGTTACTGTGCGCGTGAAAGGCAAAGTTCTTTGCTTAACAATGGTAGATATCAGTCCTTTCTTTGCTTAGCAAATTACTTAGCAAAGGTAAGATTTTCTCTTTCCATCTGGAGGCCTAGTCTTTCTCCCCTTGGATTTCTTGTCCATAGGGGTGGTTGGAAGGAAGATGGTTTTGTCTGATTTGTTTGAGAAATCAAGGTTAACAGAGGTCGAGAAACAAGAGGTGGATGTTGGAAAGTATGGCTATGGGGAGGAAGAAAGAAACCAGCAGTAATTAACCAATAAACATTCGAAACCCACAGTAGAAGAGATGAAATCAGTGTTTTTAGTCGAAAATTATGAAGGCTTCAATTAAGTTTAGGGAGGAGCAAAAGGCCCTTTTGAGACCAAAATCCCAATAAACATTCTGAGTTGCCCATTCCAATTAGGAATTGTGGCTGGTGAATCAAAAGAATTATATCTAAATCTCAGTACTTTCTTTGAATCTAGGCCTTCATTCAAATTCTCCTACCGTCCCAATGATTCTCATAATCCTTTCAGCTTCATTTTCAAGACTCGGATTGGGTACTTTGGGTCACCCAATAAAAGCCCTTTAACCATGAGCGCTGAGTTTAATCTGATCGGTAATCAGAACCCCAGTTTCTTCATTCACTTCAAACCCAATTTGGATGATTTTTCTGTAAAAAAAATATCATTCTTCGAGGTTAGTGAAGGGTTTGGGCGACAAATTCAACGGTGCTGCTTTGTCAGGGGAGAATTTCCTGGACAACGGATAGTTCAAAGGAAATGTGTTTCTTCCAAGCGCGGCGGAGTCAAAGGTGGCAACAGGGATGATCAAGGGAGTGTGAAGGGTTCTGAGATTAGCGCTAAAACGGTGTTGTGGTGTTGGCAATATTAATTAATCATTTTTCTATATTTCCTTAATTAATAAAAAATTTAAAATTCTTCCAACATTAATTAGCAATATTATAGTATTATATTAAATGTAAAAAAATTATCATTTTTTAATTATCTTTTTTTCAATTGTGGATTTCCGATGTGGGTGTGGACTTAGACCAAGGTTAGTCTTTTGATTGTTTTCGTTAATTTAATTGACATTGTTATTAATTGAGTTATTTACAATTGTTTGAATACAAAATCCCCCCCAATCATTGTACGAAGCATAAATATTGAATTACACACTTTTCGTGGGATTGAACCTTACTTCCATTACTACATTAGTTTTAGAGGTTTAAGAACTATTTTTGGGTGCCTACGACAGCACACCAACCCTAAAGTAGAGAAGGCGCCTATTTTTATACATAGATAGATAGATAGATAGATACCACAATATTTCTGGCAAAAAAAAGAATACGAAGAGAAAAAATGTCAGAACTTGGATGTCGTAGCTTCAAAATCATAAATTTAAGGCTAAAGCCACTAACCTCATTGGAATCCAAATTGTACCTTGAAGAGCATACAACAGTACTCTGGTAGTGGTAAACCATATCCTGTTAGCTCCATGCTTCTTGTGATATGCAGTTTTCAACAACTTGAGTTTTATACAAAGTCATTAAAGGTAAAATCTTCAAGGGAAAAGGAGATGTGGGTTCAACGAGGTTGCACCAGTTGTTATTGCTAGCTAACTGCCTTACTTGGCACTTGAAATGTCATAAAGTCGCACCGAATCGTCTTCACTATCTGTTACTAATAAATCAGATGTCTTTTGAAAATAAAAGGAATTTATTTTTCCACCCTGAACAAGACATGGATATAATCTAGAGATCAACCAATGTTCCAAATCCCGATCATCCAGTGTACTTCAGTTTCAAGACAACATTCCACCAAATTACACATAAACACGATTACACGTAATACACACACTCCCAATTAGTCACGAAACGAATTTGCAAATCAATACAAAACTGTCAAGTGAATAATCATAACTTTAGCATCGTGGAAAAATTCTGGAAATAGATAGTTGAAAACAGAGTACTAACAAAATCCAAGAAGCTTGCTCCCATTGACATGCTGCGAACTACATCGTCATTTAGTTCTAAAATGAAGTCATCACAATCCAAGATCAATTCTTGAGAGCAAAACAAAGTATGCAAATTGAATTATGATTCCAAATGGGCAATAACAAAACAATTTAATCGCTATGCACTGTTCTAGGAAATTTTATTAGGGGTTTATGTGTTTAGGATTCAATGGATTTTTTATTTTTTCTTTTTAACCGTCCAATCAAATAAATTCTGAAGTATAATATCTTCTTCGTTTGGCACTAATTTTCTAACACTCATTTTTCTTTAAACACAATTTTAAGCATATTTTCATGACATTCACAATTTTTATTAACTTTTCAAACACATATTTTATCATTTTTTTTTTATAAAATATATACTAATAATTTTATTTTTGGCTAAACCAACGAGGGACTTTATCTTTTAGAAATAGATATATTGGTAATCAATAAAATCTTGTTTAAATAATTTTGACGGACCACATGAACTTTTTTTGTAGCTCGATTTGTTCCTACGTTTTTTACACGTCTATCCCAATCAATTTTCAATATTATCTAATGTGACCTTTTATACTATTTTCCATTTTAAACACGAGTGATTAATCAGATTTTACAAGATATTGTAAATATTTTTGAACTTGTATCTATTAGCAACCTATCACAGCTCGGGACTACCAACAATTGTGATAGTCGATGGAGAAATAAGGATACACGAGATTCTTGGAGAAAAAAAGGGTGAAGACTCACAATCTAGCCTCAATTAGTGAAGAGAAGTTGAGTGATCTTGGAGCTCTAACGGCAACATGTTCAGACCATGATGACAATCCAATCGAGCCTATAAATTCGGAAAGTTCAAATTTGCATTTTAATCTGCATGGTAGTTCAGCAAACTCCAAATAAAGAGGGATTCGCTGTCTTCAAATCTCCCTATTATCAAGCTGTCATCGCAAGAAATGGAGGACACAACAGATTGTCAAACGGTTCAAACCAGAACCTGATTTCATGGGATTTCTCTTTTATTTGATTTACAACTAAATCATTATAATTTTATTTAAATGCTGCACTTGTATTGCCTAAGTGTTCAAGTTGCCATTGAATAAAAATTGAGTTTCATTTTCTTTCAGAACAAATACTCAATCGACTTAGTTTTTCTTTAGTATCTACAATGAATTAATATTTGGTCTTTCAAAATATAATTTCAGTATTTATATGGTGTGGATATTTGTAATTAATCCAAAAGTTTTTTCCCCTTTCACGATGTGCATCTTTGCACATTCTCTCCCTTCTATTTATTTTTTGTGCTCTTACTCTTGCAAGCCCCTCATCTTTTGTTTATTTTTATTTTTTCTACTTTGCTACTCTAGAGGCATTTTAAGTGTGTATTGGGATATAACGAGACTTTCGAGTAAAAAGAATAGTGATGAGTGAAAAGAACATAGACAATAAAGCAGTGAGACATGAACAAAAATGGGGAAAGTGGACATTGGGGATGGTAAGGGATGGACGAGCAAAATAAGATAAGGATTAAATGACGAGGAACGTAAATTAGATGATATAAAATAAGGTTGTGAATGATAAATCAATATTTTTGGGATTTGGGGCAAATAAGAAATTAGTCGTAAGGAAACTCTTTAAACAGGTTTCTCTTCTCTTGTAGTCCAATTGTTTCACAATTGCTAATTGTCTCAAAGAAATTCATATATGTTATAAAATTATGGATAATTATTTAGTCTACAATAAAATACACACTTTTTGACTATATTACTTTCTTCCAACGTTCTTTCTTTTCCTCTTAATTTTATAGCATATTATCAGCACGATTCTAATTATCGTACCAACGAAATAAGTCAATATTTTTCATAAATATATTCTTCCTAAAGAAATTTTTGTATTCCAAAAGAAAGAAGAATCAATTATAGTAATTATATCAATTAAGGAAAATTGCATAGATTTTGAATTTGGCCAATAAGTGAAGAGGTTATAGGCAAAGTAAACTGCATCGAAACGTCATGCATAATAATAACATTGCAGTTGCCTTTAACTGCTGTAGATTTGTTGTCACTCTGCTCATTTTGGTATCAAAGCCATGTTATTTTCTTCCTTTTATCATCATAATTTATGTTACTATGTGCTCGAAGAAGAAAGCTCTAATCCTTTTTCTTTGCCTAAATCGTCTTCTGTATCTTCTTCTACTTCCTTTAGAAAATCTGATGCTTCTAAAATAGAATATCTCTATGAGATATCCCATCTTCCTGAATCTGATAAAATTCCACTTACAGACCTACCTCTTGTAAATTCGTACCTCCCTTACACAAAACATCATCATTCTATTACTAAAACTGTTCGTAGTCTTACTTCTCCTCAAAAATCCCAAGCCAAAGAATTTGTTCAAACCTCAAAGTTCGATCAACATCTCCTACCTGCTTTAGAAAAAGAAATGTTTGTTACACTGGAATTACCTTCTCATCTTCCACGAGTCTTGTTATCAGAAACTATATGAGTAGAGGTGAAACCTCGAGTTAGATTTGCTTTGACTCTTCATGGAAGAAAAGGTCTTCCTACATTTTCAAAAGTTGCTCTGTTAGACACTCGTTTCTCTAAATATCAGCATGCTTGCATAGGAATTGTAAAAACAACTCTCAATGCTGGAACTGTTTTGGTCACAATGTTTCCAAACTTCAATATGCCCATATTTGATCCACAATTAGTTACTGCCTTAAAAGCCCAAGTTCAAATCGTTGGAGCTGTACCATCTTCTATTACATATGTAGCTACTCTTCATTATCAAATGGTGTACAGAATACAAAATCATTTTCTTAATTTTGTACAATCTCAAGGAACAGACGATGCACTACTTCTTCATGTAGAGTCGGATCATGTTCCTAGTTGTACCTATGTTCCCTGGCAAATTCCTCGCTTAGATTTACTTAAACTGATTCCCGAGACATAGATCACAAGCTATGAACAAGCTCACAAGGAAAACAAAAATTCTACTACAATACAATCCACTGAACATTTTTCAGAAAAAGGTCCAATGGAGATGTTGAGATCGCCTTCAAAAGGGATGTTGTCTAAAAAAGACCCTCATGTTTTCCCACACAATTTGCATATAATGAGAAGAAATTCCTATATATGCTTTTGATACGAACGGAAGGCCTGTATACAGCAGAACAGATTATATTGGACATATTTTATGGGATATTTTGCTCTTGCTTCAATTGTCTAGGAACATATATTGATGATGATTCTCCCTGCTAAAGAAAGAAATCTAAGCAAAGCAGTCAAAGAAAGTTACATAAAGCTTTCTATGATAATGATCCAGAAGTTGGATTACTTGGAGAGCCATCAGGTAAATTTGATTACTATGTCAAATATGCTGCACCACCTAAAAATGATGATCCCATAATTCCTACTGGATGGGATGGTGGTGATGATGATTGTAACATTTATCATAAAGAATGGGATTGAAATAATAATCCATCCATCTCTTTTTCCTATGGCGATGTTTCATCTTCCTACCTAAGAAGAGTTTCCTTCCTTAGAAACTTTGAAAATGATCATTCTACTCATTCCCGAAAAATCAAGAATTCAATCACCAGGAAATCAGATGGATCGGTGCAACCTCTTTCGGCAGAAGCAACTTTAAACTGGCATTTGGAAAATGCAGTACAACAAAATGCTTTGTTAAAAAAGATTGACCAAAGTCAACAGAATTGAAAGGACTCTACAATAGCAAACTGAGACTCTCCTCACCCCTCTTCAAGCCTATAGACAAAGAATCGAAATTTTACACAATGATATATTGAACCGTCTACAAAACCAACTATCATTTGATGCTCAAGAAAGAGAAATCAAAAACCTAAAAATTCAACTTGCTTTTCTTAAGTCAAATCCAA